CAGTAATAATAATAATATTAATAGCAATATTCGATAATTTAAAGCGCCAGCGTTGGATTTAATATCATTTTTACTTAATCTTATTTAATAGTATATTAAATAAATAGATTTCTAAGCGACGCCTTAACGTTTTTTTCTTTATTCTCCTTGCTATGGAGTAAAATTTTCAAAATCACAAATAAAAAAACAGTTTTTAAACAATTCTAGGATAAGGCTCACAGTAGTAAAATTATATTACTAAACGATGGGAGGAGTTCGCCATTATTATTTCTTACTTAATTATCTATTTACCGCCAAGTGTTATTGTTAGACGTACTACAGAAGGAGGAATAATATTTTTTAATGTTGAAAATACTGGCGTTTAAAATAAATTAAGTACAACTGTTAAATTAATTAACATTTTCTGACCTCGTTATTTTCATCATAAACGTTATGGACCCGTGGGAATGACAATAATTAGTCGAGCACTCGCATGGACATTATTAATATAATATTAATATAGTTGATTATTTAATTTCAGAGCACATACACGTTCTAGTGAGTCATTCATACACGAACTTGAATTGTAAGTAATAACGTATGTTTTTTGTAGAGTAAAAACAGACTTAGTTTTCAACGATTTTTGGAATGCTCTTATTTCTCTCAGTGTCGGCTGTCAATACAGGACAGTCACATTATTGGACTGGAATGCAAAAAAATGCAAAATGATTATTTCATGTCTTCGCAAAGTCTGAGTGAATTTATTAAAGCGGAATCCCAACACAGAAAATTAATATTCACACTACGTCTGCAAACATCCGGTTTTAATGGAGTTTAGTAATAATTAGACTTGGTTTTTCATAAAGTGATTTTTACATTTAAAATATTGCATTGTTTTATTTAAAATGACAAAAATGATAAAAATGATTTATTATGCCGAAGTAGACAATAAAATGTAAAAAAAATCACGTGAGCTCTTTATGTACAATATGGAAACAAAGCCCGTTCTAAGTGTTATTTATCACAATATTAAAAATTAATATTGACTTACCCGGAGTCCGTAAGTTTTATACAGCTAATTGTAGTTGTAAATCATTAATTAATTGTGTTTTAAAATATTTTTTTCGTCGAACTTTCCAATTAATCATTAGCACAACGTAGTTACCAGACAACATTAATTACAACGTTCCGTTATTATCATCGACGGTTTTTGCGTTGGCATAACTGACACACATGATTAAATGTATAATAACATTTCAGACGTGACAAACGTTCGATATTTGTGTCAAAGTAAACCTAATCAGGAGAAATCAGGTTTTAAGTTCTAACACACACAAGACGCGGGGAGGTGTCCGTCAGTTGACTTGATTATTTTCTAAGTCATTGCAATTGCATCTAATTCCCATAAATTAATAGTGTATTTAATGACTTGTTCAAATTTTTACAGTTTTTGTGCTCACCTTAACACAAGCATGCGCATAGCAAGTTTCAGTGGTGCCCAGTTAGTATTTACAATATTTAGAATTTTGTTTTTACACTATTTTGTTATTGGTACTTGAATTATTTCAATTATAAAATTGAATGCTTAAATGGTAGTACCATTTAAATCTGTAATTGAATTGTTTCTTTAAATACCGAAATGAAAAACTAAAAAAAAAACCTTATAGGTAGACTTATCTGTGTAAAATGACATATAATGTATTTTATCAAATTTATGTTTAAAATAGCGTCGTTTTGAATTATTGGCGCAATTTTTAGTCGATTTTGCCAAGTTTCTAATAGGACCTAATTATTTTTTTAGTAATGGTTATCGATATAGCTTTGTAAATGTCAAAGAATTTCAGTTACATGTAAACGCATAACATCGTAACTAGGAGGACCCCTTCCAAATAAAATATTATAGTTAAACAAAACATTTTTTTTTTTTTGACTTAACGCTGATGATTTTTTGTCTCAGTCTGTAAATTATTGTGTAATGTATTGGTTTATACCCACTGTATATCTCTCTCACTTAGTTTACAGCAGCACTTAATGTTTTCCGACCTCCGAATACAAAATCGCTTTGGAATTAATTACATTTTTCTGTACGGCACGGCGTGTGTGTGTATATATTAGTCGGAAGGTGGTGTGTATTCACCGCAGTAAGTGTAATGTTATTATAGGTGTTTTTTTTTTTAAACATTTCACAAAACCCTACGAACAACTAATTACACGTCGTAGTCACTGCAGAGCACATATAAAAATATAATGTATACCTTTAATAATATTAATATTATTTTATACCGCGGACGTCGTTGGAGCTGCCGCTCTGGGGAAACGCCTCCAAGCAATATATCTCCTGCGGCCTGTTATGCACAATCCGGCAACCTTCTCCTCCCTTGACGGGGAATGCAAGAAGAATTTACTTACAATGACAAATAAGAAAAATACTTAAATTTACATTTTGGAAGTTTAAGCGAGAAGATCATCGGAGTGATGTACAACGTGCCCCGTCGTGATTCATTCAACTAAAAATCTCTCCAGACACGTTCAAATCGATACTTCTATTCCGTGACTTATTGGTGCAGTGGTTCTTTTTTAAGAGAAAATAAATCATAATTTTTTAATTTCAGAACGGCTATGGCATATAAGAAAAATTTTAATCGGCCACAAGATATGGTTAAACGAGCATGCGATGCTCATATGAGTGGCGTACCTAGGAAATATATGATTCTATAATCACCTTGAGTTATAATTAAAATATTAATTGGTTGATAAATCAATATCGCACACTTAACTCTAAAATATTTGAAACTCGACGGTAATCAAAACGAGTTCGCAAAACCTGATAAATCGTCTCGGGTTATTTTTTTTATACATTTTACTACATTCATTCAAAACGATGGAACCTTATGATATTTTAATTTAGTTTTATTCGTACGAGCAAAACGAGCCCCCCACGAATCCGTTAAAAAAAACGGGAATGGCGTCATAACACATTTTTCGTTGTCTAAAAATTAAAAAAAAGAATCGTGCGTCGACACGAACCAAATGGTAAACACATAAAGGATGTTAGCCTGTGTTATCAGCGCTTATTATGATATGGGCGATCACAATTTAGCATCGTAACGTAATTGCTATTCAATGGATCAGTTCACTAAGATTCGTCTAAAGGTCAATCAAACGACTATCGTTTAGAATTCGTTAATAACCGTTTTAATTTTAATAGCCATTTGGGCCAATTCATCCCAGTGTGACTTGGTTGAAATTCATAATGACGTTCCGAATAACCGCGTTGAAGAAACGAAAATGTGTTTTTTAATTAGTCCTGAGAGTAAACGTCGGTTGACTTTTTTGTGGTGCACGGAGAGACCTCGGCGCGCGTGACAACGAACGACGGCCACGTGTTCCCCTCGTCTCGAACCGAAAGCACATGCGGCCGTGTCGATCATAAAAGTAACACTGCCGGCGAAAGATCTACAGCGATTTTCCGGATCGCTGTGCTTTTTATAAATAATCGTAGTGCGTGTATTACGGGCCCGCGTTCTAAAAATAGTCTTTTATTAGAGCACATAATTGTTATTACTATTATTATTATTATTGAACGGGCACGTCTTGCGAACGGTATTCTCGTCGGCGAACAGTTTACCAGACGGAAAGCAAACAACATCTCGTAACGCTAATAATGCGATACATTTTTAAACGCGAGAAGCCAAACACGTAGGCACTGGCAATGATTTGTTAATAATAATAAAAGTACACGTTATTCCCATTGACACTGCCGATGGTCATTGGCGTTCACCCTAATTAACTCGAGTTTTTTCGGTTGTAATTGTTTTATTTTATTAACTAATTAGATAACGATATTCACAACGATTGTGTTGATTTTTTTCCAGGACCATTATCATGCTCCGTTGCTTCTTTCGACGAATAAATATAAATGTATTAACTGTTTAATTAATAAAACGCCACCGCGTGGGACCGTAATTAAGATATTAAACGACTCAAGTGTGAGACTATTGAGCCGTTGTTTTAATTTCGGCGATACAATTAAAAATGTAAGGCAATTAATTACCAGCGCAAGAGCCTTCGAGACGCTCTTAATTATTTTAACCCTTCGAACGCGCTCCACGCAATTTAACTGTGGGAGGGTTTTCGTTTGTTGCTTCGAACAACCGAAAGAATAAAAAAATAATGTGAAATTCCTTCAGATTCTTTGGGTATTTAAGATTCTTCGACGGCCCCGCAGTGAGACTACACCCCGTCCCCCGCGCGACGGTTAAAAATTCATCTGGCGCGCACGGAGAAGAGAATAATCGCGCGCGCGTGCGTGTGAGTGCAAAAAATAAAAAGAACACCACCTGGGAACGCGTGTCACACCACACGACGGCGGCAGACCGCAAAAATGCAGTCCCACGTTGGTGTAATGCGAAAACCGCACGTTTTACATTATCATAATGCACCCGACGGCCGTCGAAATTATTTCCGTCCCGTCTAAATTTACCGGCGATCGTTTCTCCGGTCAAAGTTTCTACTGCTTGGGGTGCGCTCGCGGCGGTTACGTGTTCCACAACAATAATAACAGTAATATTATTATTGTTGAGCGAGACGACAATTGAGATCACTCGGTGTGTCGACGAATAGACACGAACTTTGCGGTCCCGACACATCAGATCTTTTATTAATATTCGACGAGTGTGTCTATTAAAAAAATTATTATAATTCGATTTTGAGGTTTTTTCCGATTCAATAAATCCGATTGCGGTGGCAGAGTGTCCGCCACTGTTACTACTGTTGCCGAGACTTATCTTCGGGTTTTTTTCACGCACGCAAAAAACGGTCAGACCGCATCGGTGACGCGTACGACACAACGGCAGTGAAGTAAAGAAAAGAGGAGGAATGTGAAAATAATATGTAGACCGTCGTTTTTAATCATTTGAAACAATCATTTATTAACAAAGGAACAACAATAATATATTTAAAAACATTTAAATGAGTCAATTTAACAAATTTATTCACTGACGAAAAATAAATGATCGTTGTTTAGAATAGTAAACTTACTTATTTACACACAGTTCCAAATTATAATGTACAAACGAAGAATTAGATTTTTTCTTTTATACAAAATATTACAGTACAAAAAACTTAAGTATAAATTTTGTTTTACACGAATACAATTATTACACGTCTAATAACACTTTTATTTTTTTCTTAGTTTCGTAGTAATAATAATTATTATTATTAAATATAATTAACGAATTAATTCGTCCTAAAGACTCGCACAAGAAAAAAATAGTCGTATAAAAAAAAAAAAAAAACTACAAAATAATGACTTAGGGATTAAATAACAGGAACATGTTTTTTTTTTTTTAATTTGTTCGACACATATTAATTAAATTAATAATACTTATAATTATGATTAACAACAACAAAACGATCACAACGCCTTAGAGATCATCACCCTGGCTCTATTTGTAATAAGAATAAGAATACAGGTAAACATTTAGAATGAGTAGAATAATAATAATAATAATAATAATAATTTGTTTTTGAGAATTCAAAAAAATTAATAATAATTATAATAAATAAATAAATAATAAATTGTCGCATTTGTTTTCAATGGATAGAAAAATAATTGTTAAGTGGCAGGGAAAGAGATATCAAGTCTAATCGTTCAATTACGGCATAACAATATTAGCCAGTCACTTTTGAGATAGAGAGAGAGTACAAATTGAGAGGGTCAAATAACGTACCGACAGGTTTATCAAGAAGTCTACTTAAAAAAAATTATTACATACATACAAACATGTACATGTATAACATATTAAACAGTCTAAACTTGCGTGGCAAAAGAGTGTTGGTCTAAAATCATCGATTTTACCGCCGCTCTTTCGTATTGCAGCTGTTGGTGTATGTTGCGATGGTAGTGGTGGTGAGCTTTGTTGGGCGATACCTCACTGAAACACACAAAAAGAAAAAAACACGTTTAATACATCGTTCGTTATACACACAACAACAATAACACAACGATTAAGTTGTACACACAAATATATTCGTCTGATAAATCAAGCGCTCCGTACGATTTCGCCTAGTCATTCACCACAGCGTTTGTGTGTATGTGCATCACAACAAATACAATCTAATTGTATCTCATTGCCCAGACATTCCGACACCATTGAGACCTCACGCACAATATCCTAACGTCTCCCCATTTTTGTCTATTCCTCCCCGCGCGCACCAAGAAGTTTCCATACCGAATTTTCAGTAAGTAAATAAAAAAAATGATAATAATACATAAAAGCATTACCCGGTCCACAGAGCACGACGGCTAGTCATCCAGTCTATTTTATCACAATAACGTGTTAATCATCGTGTGCATACGACTAAGTGAGGCGTTTTGAGAATTCATCGAACTGTCATTAACGACGTGTACCACAGTCTCGTATGACTTAATAATTACCCACTACCTTAAATAAAACGCCACTACGTTTTAGGAAAAGTTTTTATTTTAATGGGTTTTGAGAAAAGGATAACTGACCGTTCGCATTGTAGTTCACCGAGAATTATTAGAATACATTAAAAAATATCTAAGCTCTGTGCATTTTTTAAACCTTTCTCGCCAACACCTCGGGATAATATCAGTAAAAGTACTTACTTGGAGTTGTTGCATTGATTGGAATCGACGGATATCATTGATATTCTGCGGTCCAACGCGTTAATGACCGCGTCCTGTTCCTTGAAGGACATGCGGTTTTGTCTGTCTGTATTGAGCAGCTTTTGTTTTTGAAGCGACGTCGACGACTGCGACGGCGTCAACGGCGGCACCTTGGAACCGAAACACAACGGTTCCGAGTATACGTTCTCCTGCCTGACAGGTGGAGGCAACGGGTCCCACGAGTTGCGAATAACGTGTGGGTCGCCCAGCTTGGCCACGCTGTGTATGGAGTTCTGTTCGTTTTGTATCCGCGCGTTTTCATCGGCTTTCTTTTGGTCCCTACGCCGGCGATTCTTCATGCACAACACCACCGCGATGGCGGCCAATACGATTATGGGCACGGAAACGGAAAGTATGACCATGAGCACGCCGTTGACGGACGCCATTTGCGGTTCCATGGATACGTGTTTGGAAAGGTCTCCTGGCGTCGGTCGCTCTTCGGTGCAGTTCGCGCCCGTATACCCTTTGGGACATTCGCATTTGAAACCGCCGCCAACGTCGTTGGTTACGCATGTACCACCGTTGGCACATGGGCCGGACGCGCATTCATTGATATACCGACTGCAGTCTTTGCCACCGAAACCGGACCGGCAACTGCACCGGAAATCGTTTTTTAGATTTTCACATGTCCCTCCGTTGGCGCAAGGTTTGGCTACGCAGTAGTCCACTTCGCTCTGGCAAACGTCACCAACGTAGCCGGGTACGCATTGGCAACGATATCCGTCGGCTTGAGCTTGGCAAGTGCCTCCATTTAGACATGGATTTTTTTGGCAGTGATCAGGTAAATGGCAGTGAGCACCGGTGAAACCAGGAGCGCACTTGCACGTATAGCTTGAGCTATCCTTGCTGGGTACGCAGGTCGCGCCATTCCGACAAGGATCTGGCTGACACTGGTTTGTCGGTTGATGGCATGTTGGACCGGAAAATCCGACGGGACAGTGACAAACAAAAGTATTGTTGTTCTTGTTGTTAACGCATGTACCGCCGTTACCACAAGGAGAGCTGGAGCAAGCCGGTAAAGTAGAAGTCTCACATCTAACGCCTTTCCAGTTGTTGGTACAAGAACAAGTCGAAACTCCGCCGCTTTTCTAGAAAAATTAGAAGAAAAAAACTTATTATTAACCATCGCAAAATTTATGGATAAAATACATTTATGACTTTTTAATATTAAACTGATTCGATTTTGTGTTCAGATGTTTCAGCTTACCTTGCAAGTTCCGCCGTTGAGGCAAGTCAATCCCGTTGAACAATCTAGACCTTTTGTCAAACCCAAATCTATCTTGCATTCTGGTCCACTGAAACCCGGAGGACACGAGCACGTATAAAGTCCTTGTCCAGTGTTAAAACATGTACCTCCGTTTTTGCATGGTGCGTGGTTGGTACAGTAGTTGAGATCCTGGTTGCAGAACATACCACCCCATCCTTCTTTGCACAAACACTGCCACGGTTTTTGGCAATAACCGTTTACGCAACCCGGATATATCTGACACTGATCGCACCTGGATCCCGTCCAGCCAGCGTGACATCTGCAACAATAAAACGGGGAACGGTTTTTTAGTAATTACAATCGTGTATTTTTATGCAACACAAGATTGATAAACTATTGATGGGTAAGAGAGGGAGGTCGAGAAAACAGCGTTTATATTCTCGGCAGTGATTGAATCAGATAAATAGCCACAGCACGATCAATCCATAAATAAACATGCGATAGGAATGGAGTGTACACACGATGACCGGTTATGCGGTAGAGGCGCTGGGGTTAAGGTCGGATATGGATGACCGTGAACCAGTCGGAGACTTTTAATTACCAACTTAGGATAAATAATGACAAAAAAAAAAAAAAAAGGAAGAACATAGCACATAAAGAAGACATATGAACTCGTATTTATAAAAGAAGATATACTCACTGGCAGGTTCCTGGAGTCATGCATGTACCTCTCTTCTCGTCACAGCCAGGTGCACATATTGCTGAAAAAAAAAATCATAACATTTAACAATACTGTACTGAGTTATGGACAGGAGTTAATTTAAAACGACAAAATTTATTACGAGCTTTACATTTAGCGGATTTTTATCCCTCCCACCTAGAGTCCGAAAGTGGCAAAACCGGAAAACGGCAGATGTTGTCTCATGGGGTTCGAACTGTTTTTTGGATAGTATGAGGGGGGAAGGGAGACAAGTGACCGTTTTGCAGCTGCCACCCTGCGCCTGCAATGGGTTTTTGTTGTTGTGTCGGAATACACCCTGTGGACATATCTAATGCCATTGTTGCCCATTGGGAAAACACAAGTCCGCTGGCGGGCGCGCACAATAGCTGCGTTGGTATGGAAAACAACAACAGCGGAGATAGCAGTGGCACCGAAGGATAAAATTAATAAAAAATAAAATAAGAAATAGTAGTCAAGAATGTTGAACGGCGGCGGATGGTCGAGTGAGGAGAAGGCTGAGATTTAATGCGATTTTCGTGACCGGACGGGGAATTTTTATATGTATCTGTTTGCTGTGATCTTGTTTAGAAACGTTATGAATGGCGACAAATTGCACGGGTTCTGTAACGTAATTACTCTCTTGTGGGATCCACGCGGGACTATGAAAAAAAAAAAACGAGAAAGAAATCCGAGAGGAGAACATAATACCTCGAAGAAGTGGAAATAAATAAATACATAAAAAATAATCTTGAAGAGGAAAAGTAAAAAAAAAAAAAAAACCGGTAACTGGATATATAATGTGTACAAAAACAATGGCGTTTAATAATCGACGGTATAAACGGTTGTGATGCAGCGGATGGTCGGTGGCGGCGGCCGTCAAGCGGCAGCGGGAGACGCGATCAGGACCGGTAACCGATACCACCGTGTAATTACAGGCTATATCGTCTATATGATTATTGTGTCACCGGTTAAGAACTCCGGTCTCGTGTGCCGCCGCCGCCGCCGCCTAGTGGTGAGCCAGCCACGGCCGAGTGTATTGGAGTTATTGCCAAGTTAAAATAATGTAACAAATGACACATATAAAAATATATATGGACATGTAAAATTTAAGTATTATTTTCACACGTGAATACAGTACTCCAAACCCAAATTAAGTGGTGAATTCCTCGTGTCGGGCAGACAGCGCGGTGCTGAAATATTACTACTACTTGACCCAGGTTAACGAATATCGCGAGACAGTTCCATTACGGAGTAACAATAAGTCATAAAACGAGCATACACGAGACCATCGGTTAAATAAATTAATAAAAATAAATGAACCGTACCGGTTAGTAATTACTACAATGCGCCGATCGACACACGGTTTGGCAGACGCTACCGATTTGATTTATAGAAATAATTTTTTTTCTTTTCTTAAATAAATATATACGTAGTACATTAAACGCGTAAAAATGTCATGTTGAATCTATGAGTCACGGGACGTGGTACTGCACGAAAGTATACGTACTATAATCATATTTTTTTTTCCACATAAAACAAAAGAGATTGTAATCGAATACTGCAAGGTATGTGCCGCGCAATGCGTTTTGAGAACCCCTGCGTGCATAACAACCTGACAGGCACACACGGAGAGAAGCCCATAGCTATGGAACGAACGTTACCGTGGGAACCTGGAGGACTACCGAAGCAACGGCGGCAACGTGTCCGAGACGGAACCACTGCCAGTGTGCACAAAAGGACTGGTAAGGCAACGACGGCGATGTGTACGGGGCGGACGCGCGCATCAACGGAAGGTTGACCGGCCCGTCCAACGGAGAAAACTACTACCACTCATCACACGGTCCAACACCACACCGATAAATTATATAAAACGCGCCAGTCAGTTAATTTTACATTTTCCTTCTTCTAACTTATTTATTATTATCGTCAATGTTCACCGGTAAAGCGGCAGCCCGTACAACCTATTATCGCCATCGCAGTCGTCATTATTAGTACTATTATTATTATCGGACATAATACAACCGCATGTATTAAACGGCGTTGTAGCAGAAACGTCCGAAACAATGAAAACCACCGTTTAATACGTTCCTTTTTTTTTACTCGATATGTTGTTGTAATTTTTATTCTTTTTTACTTGCTCCCACCTAAAATTTCAACAGAGGCCCCCCTATATTTTAACTTGACGTTTTCGGTAAAAAGGTTTGAAAATATATCACACACACATCAATAAGGTACAAAGATACGCCTCTAGGGTGTAACATTCAACATACCTTTGCTGCAATAGCTGCCAGTCCATCCGGGCATGCATATCATGTCACCGTCGTTGGAACACAAGTAATGTCCGAAATTGTCGTCCCTGGGGCGGCAGAATTTCGCACACCCGTCTCCGTGATAGTTGTCTTCGCACCGGACCCTGTGCTCGTACACCAGCCGAGACCGGACACCGCCGGTAGACCCGGCGTACTCCTGTTGCACCCATCCGTCGCTCAGCTTCAGGTATCTTTGATCCGTGATGCGCGTGATCAGCGCCGAACCGTTGGTGGTACCTGACAACGAAAAAAAAAAAAAGCATACATATTAAAACAATGTACGTAAGTATTCAGTGCTCATACAAACAGGCGCCGCCGGACAAACGGGGCAGACACGTCGGCAAGAGGCACCGTGGGAGAATAAGACGGTCACCCGCCGCCCAACAATTGGTCACACACACACACACACACACCATATGAATGCTACGTGCCTACCGTTTTCTACGAAGCCGTTGCTAACGTCCGAATAAAATGGAATAATAATACCCGGTGAAATAAAAAAATCTATATTATGCACCTATAATGATAACAATAACCGATTGAGCAGATCGACTGGGAGATGAGGCCAATACCGATACTGTGAAAAGCATAAACCGCGTTATTACTATTTCACTGTTGCGCGATGGTGACGCTACATTCGAGTCGTATTATAATAATAACAATAACGTTAAGCATACATATCGAATAGGATTTATTTTCGGTTTGAGTTTCCGACTGTGGAATTCCTATTATTTTCTCCAAATTTCCTATCCAGACGTGACGAGATTATTTCGGGATTACACGTTCCGGTATTGTTGTTTAAAAGGATGCGATGCGACTTCCTTATCCTATCCTTGTGTGTCAGACGATTGGCTCGGTATCAAAAAACAGCCGAAGGGCAAGTAAAAAGGTCTATTATAAAATTCGAACCAAGGGACGCGGCGCGAAGAAAGAGCGAACACGAAGAAGAAAAGAATTCCCCGTCGTTGACAACAACGTCTGGTCCGGATTTTATTCAATACAAAAGCACGTTGAAATTTATGCGCTTCGCTATTACCTCAGCGCATACGAGTATATATATATATATATATATATACACACAACACGCGAGAATCACACACACACACACAAAACAACATGCGCACATTTTTTTGTTCGACCACAAATCACACAAAAGAGTACACGGGAACAACGCACACACCAGTCGTATACATTCGAGTGTACGCTAGATGAATTTTAAGAATATTATTATATTTATTGTGCGTGTGGTACACCCTTTTAATTTTCTGTGATCATATACGGGAAGACTACAACTCACGACGCTTTTAGTCGGTATATCGGCCAAAAACGCACTCCGTTCTCATGGTATAAGTTGAATGAAAAAAAAAAAAGAATTATGTGATAATTTGCCGGTGATTGGCCCCCGTCGCCGTATCAGTAAACACCAGTGAGAAACTATTATTGGGTGTGCGCGTGTTTTTTCAACCTTTAAATAATTATATTACCGACAAACCACAACAATAGGACTCGTACGATAAACACAGATAAAGAACGGGGAAGCATTTTACTGCATGAAAATACTTTAAGATAAATATTGATTCACAAATATAGGTGGATAACAGTAATACAAATACTTGCTGACGGCACGTTATCAGTTCGGAGTAGGAAAAAACCCCAGGAAAGTCTCGTGTGTCGGTAATGTCTTTTGAAAAAGCTTCTATGACTAATAAAATATACGGTAGGTACACGCGACGTCGCATCGTCGCCACTAATCAGTAGAGGTAAGCGGAGAGGAGCTTTGAGTATAGGAAATTGAGGATATCCAAAAGGACAGTAATTAAGCCGTTAATATTCCACGAATTCGCCTCGGAGATTGGTCTAACACAAACAATCGCGTCCACAAACAGCCGCCTTTTAAAGGCGTTTTATGATAAAGTTCAATGAATGGACATGTGGCTTGAATTTCATCACAAGGTTATTTTCGGGCGATTTCTATTCTACTGCGTCGGAAATATCGTGGGAAAACGGATACCGTAGTTAAGAACCGAAACAGGTGTTGTTTAGGACTCTCGAACGAGAAGGGTACAGAGACTGTGAAGGCAACTGCGAGGGCGCACGACCCATATAAGGTTTCTGAGACACACACCAAGGGTGACCCTACTGACTCACAATAACATGACATTATATTTCCAGCCCAGATCGTATTAATAAGGTTTTTCGGGAGCCGATTACCTACTTCACGATAATGGGTGATTTTATTAGTGTATGTGTTTGTATACCAGAGTAACTACATTTTGTTTTATTATAAATTCAAAATTCAATTGTAGATAATTACCTGAATTTCTCGCTGATGATGGTTCATGCCAAGCTTCAACAATAAGTGAAAACGTACCCTGAAAAAAAAATTACACAATTAAAATAACAAAACAACACTTTGTAATATAAATATCTTCACTGAATATTACAAAATAGACTTTCTTTTATATGTTTACAAGTACTATGAAGTATTTTACAGTGTAACTGATGTTTTAGTCTTCAGGTGTAAAAAAATAAATAAATAAAATAACACATACACGACTGGGCGCTATTTAAAGAAGCATTGAATTAACTACTACACATAGTAATAATGATCTTCTAAGGTTTTTTCGGAACAATAAAAAATATTAATAATAACGAAACCACCTATCCTTTCTTACAATGACAAGCGCTGCAGCAGCAATGGCCAAGTCAGGTAAAAGAAGAAAAATATACCGTCTAATAATAATAATAATAACTACAAAATGAAAAGATCGATTAGTTTTTATTCCTCTCCTATACATTTCATACGCCCATACTGACTGTAATTATTTTAACAATCGGGTACCTCTTTAATTGCCACTCGTGTGACAGGTAATCCCAAACAATTGCGGACCAATTAAAAATAATATAAATTCCAAACCTTATTTTAATTTGTGAGAATAATCAAATCTAATATTTCTCTGGAAATTGCTACGAAATTATAATATTTTTATTTTTTGTATCAGCCATAATTCGTACTGGAAATCAAAAACTTTGCACCCCAAATCATACGCCTATCACTTAGGTTATCAATAGGCTCAGGTGGTGTTCAACTAAAATATTCGGGCTAGATTATTCATATTAATACTTTTCAGTGAAGAAAATCGCCGTATTGCTACGAAAAAAACAAGTATACGCATTTTTATTAAAAAAAAAAAAATGGTTATAGCTCAGAAAAGCAATCATCATTGTATGCAAATGCGGTCAACTTGACGGACAGGTCACCACAGAGACGAAGCAGCTCGACAGAAGGACATATAATTTATGCCATATGGGAGAAGACTGACAATATTCAGTCAAACGCTTTTATATTAAAGGTTATCGATTTTGTTTCGAACATTTCCTCTTTCCAACCGCTACAGACTCCCAGTGGAAATCGGTCAGCTTTTAGAACCGCAAACTGACTGCATTACACGTCGCCCGGCTGCTGTTACACGCCATCGAGTACACTCTTATTATTATTCCCAAGAGACGTGACTCATCCGCTCAAAGCTCTTAAGTTCTCTCCCGAGAGTACATACGCGTTTAACTGTTAAATCGGAATATTTTGAATAATGCGTTTTTACTTATTCAAGTCCATTGTAGGGCGTTTTAGCATGTAAAACTAATTCCCCCTGACACGATGCCGATATATAATTTTCATAAAACCAGTTTTGATTTATAGTGCGTGATGTGCTCTAATTAAAATTTCTGAATTAAACATTATAGATAAAAAAACGGAAGCGACGGTAAAATGATTAAGTATTCGAGAAACAGGTATTCACGAGACGCCAACCGTACGAAAGGTCGCTGCTTCAGTCTGTTTTCTGGCCCCGATTGCTGTCAGTACAGTTAGACCTTCGTAGAAAAAATACAATAGTAAAGTGTTTTGTTGGCGAGGAAAAAAATGGCCCATAATTTTAACCGCTTTGACAGGTATAGATTTCACACTACCTATGAGTATCAAACATACAGCATTTTCGGCCACTCACTCCTATTAAAGGGTTCTTTCTCCTTATTCTTTTAAATTCAAGGTTAAGGTCGGGTCCCTGGGCCTTAACGGTAAAACGGCGTCGCACACCGGGTGCCCTGCTGCTATGCCCGTACTGACTTATGAGGAAAAAAGGCTTCTGAAAAACACAAATACAAAACAAACTAATCCGCCGTGAAAAACACCCTACCGAAAGAGATAGAGGATTCGGAGGTCAACCCTTTTGTTAGGAAACAAATGTGCGAGCACTGCTGTTAATCTTATCTGGTTTCCTGCGGTGTGGTGGCCAAGAAGGAAGTTAGTCTCATATGTCTACTTTATGTACACTCGGTTGTCGTTATCCGTAAATACAATTTATTGTTATAAATGTAAACGTGTACTAGTGGTAAACACCACACTCTTCTACCGACTGGTAAGCAAATAGTGGCGACACGAAGGAAACTAGACATTTACATTAAGCTAGGCGACTTACCGGCCATGTGAAATTGAAATGGAACGCTATCGGCGTGGCGTTAGCCGGCAACGTTAGGCTNAGCAAATAGTGGCGACACGAAGGAAACTAGACATTACATTAAGCTAGGCGACTTACCGGCCATGTGAAATTGAAATGGAACGCTATCGGCGTGGCGTTAGCCGGCAACGTTAGGCTGTTCTCGCCGAGCACAGGCGTGACGACGTCGCCAAACGTGCACGTGGAGTTCACGTTTATGTTAGTCTCGTAATGCTTGAGGCACGCCCGGAACTTTGTCCGGCATGGCGTTCCGCACACTCCGCCGCAACACGTGCCCGAAGCTTCTCTGCCCAATTCATTGCTGAACGATTTTATTCTCAGCTCGAAAACGCCGTTGCAACTGACCTGCAAACAAACACACATCATTACTACGTAAAGAAAAAATACTTGGTCATTGAAGGGTATAATATGTGGTACAGGAGGGTCGCGCACTTATCATTGCGAGTGGATGTTAGTTTAATAAAACGCGTAGGAGTCCAGTCCATTGTGAGAGAGGACCCGAGGGCGGCGACTTTGTCATCGCCCCGTCATTAGGCGGACAACTTTGACGCGAGTCGAACACGAACTCGTTGACGTTGACATAAAGGTCTCTTCAAAGGACGTGCCAAAACAATGAGTGAAAGCGACTACCTAAATCGGTATGGTATTATAAAGATGACTTGGGATAAACCGAGACTCGGCCGGATTAACGTCTTGATTATTTTTCCCCCTCGTTATTTGTTTGTACCGCGGTATCGGTTTAAAAAGGTCATCGCTTTGAGTTCCAACAAACCAATGGGAAGGTGGTTTAGGACTCGGCCTGTTATTATCTGTTTACGTTCATCAAAAATTCAATCGTATGACTAGGTTTGCAAAAATAATTTTTAAGCAAATTTTTCAAGCATCCATCCATTGTCTCATTAATAAAAAACGTTTTGCAAAGAAACTAATAAAAATAAATAATAACAATAATACACTGTCTGAAGTATTCGTCAAGGCTAATCTCGATAACGGAAACAATCAATAATTTATTAGCAATTTTTTTTTTCTTCAATAATATTTTAATGTCTTCAATACATTTTTATTTTCTACGAGTCGTATATCAAGTATAACGGAAAACCATTTGACCGTCAATTAATCGCATAACTAATCGCCAACGTCAGTTCTTAGGTTTTATGTGACATAATTTGACACAGCTCACACACTCACGCAGGGGTTTTAATAGTTGCTTAATTAATACACGGCTTGAAACACATAAAAAACCGGCTCAATTGAAATATTATTATTTTTAAAAAATCCATAACGACACAAGAAATGACAGTAGAAAGATTATATATGATTTAGTGCTCGTTATTGCCGTGTACAATTTTTACATCACAATAATTTTTCCCTGTACGCGCCTTGAAAATGGCCTACATAACTATGGGGATATATAATTGCCACTGCAGTTATTTCATACACCATCTTATTATACCAGTTATATTCAACCAAGTCGTTGTGTTTTTTTTGTCATAATTATCACCAGACCTACGATTTAATTCATTATATTTACACTCTGCTTTTTATTCTTTCATGATATTCCTATTATCCTACGTTCCGACCAACGATTATAGGCGTTCTCTCTTAAAAATGCTACAAGATGACACATCTTATTCTCCCAACATGACATAGGTTAAAGACGATATACCGCTGCATTTTATAAAAGTCATTCGTTTCAAAAAAAAAAAAAAAAACAATAATAACCAATGACTCGACACCTTTAAAGTTTCTTTTTTTTGTTAAATAAAGTTAGGTAATGAACGGCGGCAATAGCATTGTTAGCCACTCATATTTGTAAATATATAAACCAAAATGTACGATTTTTCGTTTTGCAATCTAGGTATATATATACAACCATTTGACGAAAAAAAAAATAAAAAGAGAATAATCATAACAATACTGCCGTTGCCTAAGAATGGGTTTTCGAACAAAAAGCGCCCAATCGTCGACTGTACAAAAAAATAATAATAATTCATCGAAGAAGCCCAATGTGAATGACAGCTGCCTCCTCCCCTTCACCGCCCATCGATCACTCCCGTTTAGGACTTGCTCCCCATCGAACAATGTAAAGATGCACATTTTTTAATCATGAGATTCTCTGTAGAGAAAATTCGCTGTCCAGATACATGCCAGACGATATTTGCTGTAATCCGCATAAAGTTTGAAGAGGAAAACTCACGTTGTAGTGACTGGATTTGATAAGAGGATATTGAAGTCGAAGGGTCACGCTGACGGCACACTACGCGAAGTCACGACCACACGTATCAATCAATTTTTGAATAGATTCAATGAATACATTAACAAAATTTAATTCGTTTATTTGTAAACAATTATTACCATTGTTTTGATAAAGTGAAAAACGCGAACATTTCAACAATTTATTGTTGTAACCAATTTAAAAATATATTCTTCATAAGATAGTAGTCATTAATGAGTGTTTAAAAATAAACAACAGTGTAACTATTTATACAAGAGCGCACGAATTCACGTACTTTAATTAAAATGATTTTAGGGTATCATCACTCGTCGACCGTTTTTGTTATCGCATCCCTGGCAATAAATTAACAGTCAGAATAGAAAAAAATAGTAATCGAGAAACCGCTAACCGGCGACGAAGATGCTTTTATGAGATTAAACAAAACACAACGGCCATTATGAGACGATATTGAATAAAATAAACATACTGGAAAGTTATGGAGTATATTAAGTAACGCATAACAGGCACATAATATCGGTTATGATAGAACATTGTATATTGGACACACAGGGAGATATAAATAAACGGGACAGGAAGATGAGTGTGTGTGTGTGTGTGAACGCGCGCGTGGTGAATCGTCGTCGCCGCCACCATATATATGTCAGCGGATCGTTTAATAATAAAAACCGGGTTATGGTTTTTTTTTTCGTATATCTTATTTACACTGACGGTTGATTAAGAGTAGGGTCTTTAGAGCCAAGTTGGAAATATATTAAACGATTAACACGCCGACACGCAGTCAAAAGTTTGCTCTAGTTTTGATTTTTTAGTCCAAGAAAAATGACTAGCACGTTGAGCGACCGACTTCCCCGCGAGATAACATCCCTCGAGACTATCATCGCGTACTATCAGAAATTTCAACCTAACCCAAAAGTTTTAAGGTTAAGCTCAAGTGGCGGGTTCCAGATTTCTCATGTATAATTTAATCATTAATTTTGTACTCACGTTTGCAACGATGAATGTTATTATGGAAACGGCGATACACAAACACCGGCACCGCATGGTCGCACCGTAAATTTACGAACACGGCACACAGCGAGATAAGAACGCACACGAAATTTCTTTCGGATATCTATGTGTTGGTATATATACACACACACAAATATATGTATATATATTGACCGCAATGCGCGTTACAAATACATGTATGTTAACAACAACAGCCGTCTACACGCCGTTGAAACAGTTCAGACCGTTGCGAGTTAGTAGATCGCACTTCGGAGACATACTCGGATGACGTTAATGATAAAAAAATTAATTGAAATAAAAACCACACGGTGGTACGAAAAAAAAAAACACACACACACACTATATATATATTTTCACACTGCGCGGTGGCGGTCGCAACGGACGGCTACTGCGAAATAATTATTACAAAAATAATACATATGTGACACGGTAGTAATGTATAAAAAAAATGTATAAATATACTGTCGTTAAACTTTTCACTACCGTTAAGTATAAAAATAAGAAAATTGATAATAAATGATTACACACAAATACACATATAAAATTCAACTACGACAAATGCGTTAACGATACGGCGCAGAGAGACGCTCTGTCGAACGGTCACAGATCAACGACTGGTGGCGGACTGACGTGGTGACGATACCCCGACCCGGAGGATACGTTCTTGCGTGCGGTTCCAGTGTGCCGCCGCCGCCAGGTGTCGGCACCGTACGCCTATCCGTCCGTCTATCCCCCCCGGGCACCAGGTGACACACGGTAGTGGCTCACCCTCGTCTCCCTACCGCCACCGCTACTGTTGTTATTGCTAAAGACGGGTTGTATTTTTTTACATTATTCTCTATTACTAATGTGTATTTTTTTATTTTTGGGCGTACGAATTTTCGGCTAGGTGGGATACCGAAGTCTGAATAGTGGACAATAACAATGGTACTTATTCCCCCACCGTGAACTCGGTATTATCAGGAGACCGGTGCAGATTATTCCCCCTAAAAAAGTAATAAGTTGCCCTCATCTCACCGGTATCATCCCTATTAAACAGTAAACGATAATAAGCCTAATAAAACTATTATAAACGCTGTGATGAAGATTTTAAATTCGGTTCGAATTTGTATTGAGCACGTGACATAAACGAATTTGTCGATTTTTTTCCCTCGAGCTTATTGAGACGTTCTTTTTTTTTTCTGTAACACTACTAAACATAATATAGAACACAAATATTTCTTACTATTTTAATGAACGGTGTTTATATATTTGATTAAAAAAAAGCGAGAGAGACCGTGGACGTCCAAATATCTACTGAAACGTGGCGGTTATGTGGTTCAACAAAATATACAAAAATTAATTCACTTTGAATTATTCAGCTAAGAAATACGTTTCGGTTACACATGTAGTACACAATTGATATATTTTTATATTATTTTGAAGTATTACTAAATTATATTTAAATGTCTATGAAATGAAATCAATTTTAAATCTAAATTTGTTTTCTCAGGTTCTACAAAAACAATTAACACTATTGAAGATATGGACGTAAAAAAAAATACTTCAATATTATATTATCGTTGAGTCTGAAAAAAGTTTTGAATATTCAGCAGTTATTGAATCACTATATCGTCAAGGTACACACCATGCGAATCGTGTTGATCAGTAATCTCATTATAATAATAATAATGAGCAACCTACCAAAGAGCTACCTCTTCATTAATTTACTTTCTAAATGAATGCTTGGCAACCGTGAATTTTTATGAAATTAAAAAGAGGACATTTTTTTAATCTGATATCACTATGGCATAATTAAAACGTAAATACTTGATTCAATTTAGACAGTTTTTTCGTGACAATTTCAAATAAAAACTTTACACCTCAAATTAACTATCACTTGCTAATTAATAATAAGATTCGTTAAAAAACGAATTCAAAAGTAAAGGTGTAAATGAGGGCGTACTAACAGTTAACTTAACACATATTTGTTGTTTCAAGTAAAACAATGCGAAATGGACAAACATGGATTATGATGGGTAAGTAGTGTAAGTTATACGCATATGTATAATGTGTATCTAAAGCGTGTCCACGTACGAAACTACACTAAAACCAGAGATGGCAGCAACGGAAGAGTTTGAACTTCCGGGCAGTAACTGCAGTAGCAGTCTAGATAAGCGATTAAAACGCTATACATACACATTAATCGTGGGTGCGCTGTCTTTCCATGTGAATATTTTCTCTAATTAATCTCCGCTATTGCCCAATTCGCATGATTTATAACACAAAGCGCCAATTACTGTAAATTATTTTAATTTTTCGGTCGGCCATTATCGTAGGTTGTACTATTGTGATGCCGGCGATGAGTATAAAACGATGTTGTGGAGAGTGTTACTCTCTGAAACACACGCGACTTGCACATATTAATCTTTCTTTTTGCGTTTTATATTTCGAACTCGCTGACCTGGTGCGTATCCAGTGCACTTAATAGAGTAGTGATAACCACAAAAACTGTGCGTCTCGTTCGCGTCCGCGGTGTGCATTAGGACGTACCGCCAACGGTTTGATCAACCGGCGAAACAAAACGCCTTTTTCAACGGCCCCGCGAAAATAATGGCACTAAACGTTTTTAATAAATCACACGTGCTTAATGCCAAAATGGGATTTTCAAATCCTATACATAAATATGACGTGTACCGTTTGTGTAGGAACTATTAGGCCCGTGTAAAAACCATACAGGCGAACCCGGTGCATTGTGTGTCGCGGATGGTGTCCAGTGAAAACGCAACAGCTTATATTGTACACGTCCTATGTGTTGTTGTTATTTTTACTGGGTGTTGTAACGGTTTTTGGCTCCGAACCCCTCGCATACATAATACAATATAAAAGCGGGAGGGGTTCCGAGTGAGCGCCCCTGCCCTGTACGTTTTCTATACGTCATTTTATATTCCACCCATTGCATGCGCGATGATAGAACTTGTATTTCGTCGACTGGCCGTCGTCATGCGCCGCCATACATACAAAAATCGTAGTGCACCGTATGTGTGTTTAAAAAATTATTTATGATTTATTGTTGTCATTGGTGTTTTGGAAAAAATACGATTAATCTCTGATACTCTAGTGACTGCAGATTACTACTATGTAGTAATTTATACATTATAATTTAAGTCTGTGTAACTAAAGTTAATGGTTATTCCACTTACATCTCTACACTGTAATAAACCGTAGTTGTTTCTTAAATTTGCCATACATTTATGGAAGACTTACATTTTATCTACGCAACAAAAATTTTAAGCCTGTTCTAGTATGTTTTTTTTATTAAAGACAATCACACGAGTTTGTGCAATCTAATTTATAACATGGTATCAAAAGCAATTAAGATAGAACTATTTAGGTTGCAAATGAAATAACTTTAATATTGCAAAATAATATATTAGTTATGAATGGATATACGTTTTTTATTTCTGTTAATAGTAAATGTGTTGTTACTAAATGTTAACAATTTTTTTTAAGATTTTATTTTGAATTTTATTTATAAATATTATTTCACAATATTAGTATGCTGTCCAACTGAGCGCTTGTTTTTTTTAATTGTTAAGTTTGTATTATTTATTGACACAAAATTTTGGAAACATTGTTAATTTATCAAACGAATTTGCCAATAAAAAATTGCATATAAAAATTTTTTAAAAAAAGTTTGGAGTGGATCACTCAATTTTTTAATTGAACTCCAGAACATTTTTGTGATATTGTACTTTTTAGTACGATATCACAGTAAGTTACGAATACCCAAAGTTTTAAATATATATCAGTCATAACGGTTATGAATGATATGATATTTTTAAATGTGAGACGACATGTCTGCCAGTGATCTAATACGTTATATCCAGACATAAACCCTAACATACACGTTTTTATTATTATTATTATTATTATTATTTTACAACCCCTTTACTGGTTGCACGGGGTGTGTGACAGACAGCCACCGGTTTGACAAGAGGGGTATAATAGTATAATAAGACCGGCTGCCTGTACCTGATACTAGTAAACTTAAAAAAAAAACCAATTTAGTGTGCCAAGGCGAAGAAGTATAATTATGAATTTTTTTAAATTATTTTCTATGTAACCAAGTATATCATAGTAAAATATTATATGAGCTCTTCATAAAATAAAAATTAATTATTACCGCATGACCAATAAAACGCCAATGTACCAGTAATAATAAGATAATAAAATACAGTGGTTCAGTGCACACTGAGAGGCGGCTTAGACTTGGAGTATAAATACCTCTGTAGATGTACAAGTAGATATTATACGGTAATATAATGCAACTGAATTTTCGCTGTTGTTAATTAGAATAAGAATTCCTACTAAGTTTTAAAATTAAAATCGAACCTGTTTAACACAATTTCTTATGTGAATATGTAATTAATAGATCAGCATTGGATAAACATCGTATAATATTATTACACAAACTTTATTGAATGTTTATTTTACTATATATTTCTATAGTTGTTATATTTTAGTCAGTATTTACATATTAATTGAAAAACTAATACTGTTATAAAAAAAATAGTTACTTCTATTTGTGTACAAACTGTACAAAGATAGTATTGAAAACTGATAAGCTCTCCAAAGAAGTCGATTGTTTATTTTAATGTGTCAACTTTTTAAAATATATTAAAGTTGACTCATAACCTCGCCTTAAAAAGATAATTTTTTTACATTATTTACATTTTTAAGGGTGGCCAGTGATTAAATATTGGTTTTAAAATTCTTTAGATAATTTTTTATCTTGCAATAAGAATAAATAAAATTCAGCTACTTTCAGGTTCATTTCCTGTTAAACGGTTTACTTAACCTTAATTATTTTATCATTGTTCACATTGTTCTTACCAAGCGCAAGCAGTTTTAGCAAAAATTTTACGTTTTAATTGCTCCGGAATAAACATTTAACACAAAATTATAATGAATGATTCGTATTGTTGTTATTCTAACAGTACCTATTTTTGTAACGCGTTACAATGCTAATGAGATAGCAGGGCGTCACGAGCCGAAATCCAGGTGCAATTATTTCTCTTTTTTAATTGTACGCCGAAAGCAATTAATTGTGACCAAATAAACGGCGTGTATGAATTAATTCGTAGGAATTAATTTTCCGTAACCCGCGCGTTTTAAAATATAACAATATTTTTGATGATTTCAAATAGATACATCCATTCGCGCAGCGTGTTCCAAAAAACACGCAGCACTGGATTAATTATATGCATAACACGGGCGTATAGGTTTTTTTTTAAATAGAAAATGTTCGCATCAATACCGGTCTGTATTTGAATAATGATTTTTTTAAAAGGTGTATTGAAAAGGTAGAGCAGCTGCATTCACCGAACGCGCACCCGAGAGGAAACGGCCAGCTGCAAAGAGCGAGGCACACGCGCTGTAGTATGTGTACAAGAAACCCCACCGACCACAGTAGTAATGTACACTGAGTGTTATTGCAACAAGTTCTTAAAAGTCCTACACATCATCTAGGGGACCGTCGCTACGTCACAGTACGCGAAACGGAATGACAATTGATGCATTACACGGCGGTGCGATGCAGGAAGAAGTGTTTTGCTTTTTTATTTATTTTTTCACTAATGTATTTACCTTAAACGGCGA